TTGAATATTATAGGTGTGTTAACTCAGCAAAATATTCTAAAAGAGTCCAGTAGTCCATAATAGTATTGGGTCTTCTGCTTGACTGGCATTGTCATAAATTGTTGACCTGAGTCCCCTACAGCTCAACATAACACCATGGCTTTACTTCTAATACTACAAGTAACGCGTCTTTCGCTGTTATTATTTTTTTTCCCAGAACTGGGGATTAAACTCAGGCCCTTGTCACTGTCTTTTTTAGATATTTAAATATTCACTTTTTCAATCGCATCTTTGAGGTCAGTGCCTTACCTTTTGGGAAGACCAAAAGGTGTGTGAATGGCGGCCCCTCTCAGGACCAAGATGGAAGTGGAGAGAGGTTTGCTCTGCTGCTCTGCCAGTTACTGCTCTTGTAATTTAGTCTTTTTGTCTGGGGAAGACCTCGCACTCCTCATGTTATGCAAAAGCCCTTCCCTAAGGGGAGGACTGAGAGCCCCTTAATGGAAGGACTGCAGCTCAGCTCTCTCACTTTGCCTCCAGCTGAGCAACCAATTAGGGTCTCAGTCTCCAAGGAAGCTGCTCCCAGAGGGCAGGAGTGCCCCTTGAGCCAAACTTGGGGCTGCTGAGCTGGGGGCATGCTGGGAGGAGCTCCAGAAAATGCAACCATCCACATGCACAGCGTCCTTCTCTACAGTGTCCAGAGTTGTTACTACTGTACCCCTCTAGCCCCTGCTCCACCTGCATCCTCAGATGCACGGACGCTGCCTGGACAAGGGGACAAATGCTGCATCTCAGCCTGGGCCCCCAGGACAGGCCACCAACCTGCTGTTGTGTGACTCCTGAGCATTTGAACCATGGGGACCTGCAGGAAGGTGGACTGTCTGTGCAAAATGCACCCCACATTCTATGATGGCAAACATAAAAAGAATGCAAAGTCTTCCATTAATCATTTTTATTTTGATGATGCATTAGAATGATAATTTGTTGGGTGTGCTGAGTTGACCATACAAAGATTGACTTCCTGTATTTTCGTGTACTTTTAATGTGGCTGCTAGAACATTTAAAATTACATGTGCAGCTCCAGTTTCTGGCTACATGATAACTTTAGTGGATGGTGCTTGTCCAAGGTGGAACGGTGTGGGTCCAAGGCATGGATAAGCACTTTTAAAAAAGAAAAATCAGTGTCTCACCATGTAGCCCAAGCTGTCCTGGAACTAACTACACAGCCCCACACTGGCTTACGAATTCACAGCAATCCTCCTGCTTCAGCCTCCTGAGTGTTGAGACTACAGGCATGCAGCACCACACCTGGCCCAGCACAGGCTTTTACACTTCTTCTAAAAGGAGAGAACAATTACTAGTGGTGCCTCAGTGCAACCCGATTTACACCGTCTTCCTTCATGGAGCTGGATAACGTTATACTGTTTGCCAGTTAGAGGTATTAGGGTTTCAGGATGAGTTCTACAGCTCTCCTTTTGTTTGTTTTGTTTTCCTGTACTAGACCTTGAACCCACGGCCTCATACTGAGCCTATTTTGTTTTACTATCTGACACAGGGTCTTGCCTCATTGTCTAGGCTGCTTTCAAAGTTCCAATTCTCCTACCTCAGCTTCAATTTTTAAAATTCATCCTCTACTGGCTGCTCTGAGGTAGGCAACCCGTGGAGCCCACCAGGCAGGAATGATGGGTGCAGATGAAGCCTGGCCCCCTTGGGCTCGTGCTCATGCTCTTTGGAAGTCTCCTTAGCTTTCTCTCAGGGGCTCTGCAGCCGTGCGGTGTAGGCAGAACGCCCAGACACATGCTCTACCTGAGGGCCGTCTCCAGTGGCCCAGAGCTGCATGTGTGAAATCAGCCTGGGGTTTGTTCCCAGGCCTGGACACACACCCAGAGACACCCAGACCCCTCCCAGCCTTCTAACCACAAGCGTTGCCAGGGACACCTGGCCACCCTGAAGATGCTCCCACTTGGCCCAGACCACAGACCCCAAGCTCTGAGGCAGGCTTCGGGGGGACCGTGGGAGGCAGTGCAGTGGATCGTGGGGGCTTCTGGTTTCTGACGCCGGGCCACATGGTGCCAGTCACACCGGGGGAGACTGTGTGCGTTGAGGTTCTCTGCGAGCCACGCCGACAGCCAAGGCTGGGAGGCGCGGCTTGGTCACTCGCGAGTGAACCCATCTCCTTTTTTCTCTTACAGAGCAAGCTGTCATTGTGCATCCCCAAGGGCCCAGAGTAAAATATCTAAGGACAAAGGTCACCGTGTGTTATGTCCCGAGGTGTTATTAGCTTTTCTAGGCCAAAAGGAGCCTTCAGATCACGCCTGCTGCTCCTGCAGCCTCGCTGTGCTGCGTGCTTGCTGCACAGCCAGCAGCCCCAGAGAGGGTGTCCAGCGTTCCACTAGGTTTTGTGCCGTGGTCCTGTGGCCCTGCCCCTGCAGGACCCCTAACTGGTGGTGGAAGCCACTGCACCAGCCACCACCAGGCCTGGGGCTGCTCTTGGGCCTATGGACAGTACTGCAGTTTTAAAGGGAGCATGTCTTGCTGAATCTGTCCCCTTCCTCGCAAGGGGACCTGCCAGCACAGCCCAGGAGGGCTTCCTAAGGGGCCAGGACCTTTTGTGCCTGCATAATTTGGAGATGTATTAGAATGGAGACTTAAAAATAACCTTTTGTGGCCTCAACTCCGATTCCTTCTGCTTGGCCCCCATCACATCTGGCAAGCTTTTCAGCAATTACAGTGCATCTGAGCCTCACCTGAAAGGACAGAGTCGGAGCTCGGAATGCAGGAGCTCTAATTTGCCACTTCGGCAAGCGAAGGTCACTCTGACCTTCTTCTGCTTTCTCTCCGGAGGCAAGGCCTGAAAGGAGCGCCCTGACCTCCTGCAGCGGGTGCTGAGAAGCTCCTTCCACAGGGGCCCTGCCCGCTTCCCAGAGGAGGCTCTGGATGTGCTCGATACACAGCAAGCATGAAATGAAGTGAATCAGTTGTGCAATACCACGCTGACCCCATGTCTACCCAGAATGTCTTTTCCTTTGTCACCACCAAGCAGTGGTGGCCACTGGACAGAGTTCCGGCCAGTGATGAGTAGCAGAAGTCCTCTGGGTAGGGCTTCAAGGAGACTTTGTTTTCCTGTTATAAAAAGAAGGGGCAGCAGAGCGGGCTGGTCTGCCCCACTCCCCCCCTACCCTATCCTGCTTTCTTTTCTGTTTTTCCTGCATGGAATTCGGAGGCAAGGCCCAGAGCTGCAGCAGCCATCTCGCAATCATGAGGTGAGAAAATCAGGAAAAAGTAGATGCTCTGGATGGAGGAGCACTGAGTCCAGGCTCCTGGTGACAGCAGCTGTCCACCCTGGATGGCCTGCCCACCTTTACACTTCTTGCATGAAAGAGAAAAGCATCCTGTATCCATTGCTGCAATGGAGCATTCTCTTGCATGCAAACATCCCTACAACACAGCTAGTCCATCATTAGTAAGGATCCATGCCAAGCGCCTCCCACCGCAGGGGGAGTCCATTAAGAACACTATTTCATATGCATTTGCATCTCCATGCAAATGTTGACCTGAATGAATCTTGGATGAATGAATGAATAAGGCCAGATTATCCCCAACTTTAAGATGTGTCCAACAGTCTCATAGCAGCTGTGGCTCAGACCCCATGGGCCACCTATATTGTCCTGAGTCCATTCCCACAGCCACTTTCCTCTGCTACCCAAGTGGCCCTGTTGGGGCTGCAGGTCTCATAGTGTAGGGTAGAAGCAGCCTCCTGCGTCTCCAGCTGCCCCAGGGCCACAGTTCATGCAGGCAGACTGTCCAGTCAGGCTGTGTGGGCAGGAGTGCCAGCTGCTCTGAGGTTAGCAGGTGGAATTTGCTTTGTCTTTCTTCCCCAGCCTGGGCTGCAATGTGGGTGCTGGGCAGCCAGTGGGCAGAGCTCGGAGCCCGGCATCTGTGCCCAGAACCAGCTGGTAGGCTGAATGCCCTCCCAGTAGCTCTACATAGGACACTGATTCATAAAAAACAGAAGAGACATCAGTGTCTCAGACTCAATCAGACCTAGTCTCCTGTTCAACATCCAAGGATTCCTGGGATGCCTAAATCCACTTTTAATGGCCTGGCTCCAGGCAGCTTGGCCTCATCTCCTGAACAGCAAATGCAATTCCTGGCTTTGGGTATACATGTTATGCTTACTTTTTAAATGGTGGGAGCTGGGTATGCTGATACACAGTGGTAATCCCACCAGTGGGGAGGCTGAGGCAGCAAGAGGCTATGAGTTTGTGGCTAGCCTGGGCTATGTAGTGAGCTCAAGACCAGTCTGAACTACACAGTGAGACTCTATCTCAAACATGCTAATAATAAAATAGTGTAGGTGAGTTTGTATTGGCTTAAATTTCACAAATATTGAGCATGTGCAATAGACCTGGCACTGCCACTGCCCCCACCTTCCAGGAGCTTGGGACCCAGGGACACTTACACTGAGGGGCATGTGTCGTCTTGTGTCCTCTGGATCAAAGGCCTCGACCTGGTAAATGAATCCGGGGTTCGTTCTTTCTGCTATGAAGAGGTCTAAACCTGTACCTCACCAAGCAAAAAAAAAAGAGGCACTTTAGACTTAGATGAAGCAAACTTGGAGCTCCAACACCTGCACTACTGTGTGTATTGGTGGAACCAGGCAGACTGGTGTCTCAGGACAGAGGGAAGCCACAGCCACGGCCACAAGGAGCTCCACTAGCCGGTGCGTGTTAACAGGTCCACTTATGGGAATGAGTACAATGTTATGGAGTCCAATCTTCCTTTGCTTCCTCCGTGGAAAGGTGACTCGGAAAGGAGACATTTCATTTATTCCTGCTTCCTGAGCAGCTGCCTTTTCCAAGGAAACGGGACCACATATGTGTTTCTCTTTCCCATTTTCCTCCACCCCAGGGTCCTCCCCATGCCCCCATCTATGCTGCTCTGCCCAGCCTACTGTATCTTACCTTCTCCCAAGTTGCCTTGAAACTCAGGTGGCTCATTAACATCTGTCACCTGGACAGTCAGGACCTGCAGATCAGTGACCCTGACCCCGTCTTTAACATAAATCTGCAAATCAAATGTATTCGGTCCTGTTTCAAAATCCAGTTGTTGCTTCCCAAAGGTGACGACCTAAAACGGAATGCAGAATTCTCAGGACCACGTGCGAGCATGTGTTTTGTGGACTCACGCAGTGCAGAAGAGATTCATTCAGGCCAGGAAGCAGCCTGCTCGGCTCAGGCCACGTTTCTTGTGGAGGGCCCGCTGTGTTGCCTCAGCACTCCCCACAGCAGCCCGACACACTTCCTGAAAGGGACCTGGGGGCCGGTGAGACGGCCCAGTCGAATAAGCGCTTGCGTGTGCCGCTGCTTGTCGTGGGGAAGACAGATATTAAGAAGATATGCTGCATGAGTGACTTGCAGGGAAGCCTGAGGACTAACAGTCCCACTTTGCTTTGGGGGTGGCCCCTAGACCATTCCTCAGCTCCCCCAATACAGCTGAGTGGCCCTGCCTTTAAAGGGTGTGCTCTTCGCTGGGTTTCCACTAAGTGACAGCTTCACTCACCCCTCTAGGTTTCCCAAGGTCACACCCAAGAATAAATGAGAGAAAAGGACACATCTGCAAGGACAAGAAATATTACACGGAGTGCTCATTTTTTGTGTGCCTCCTGCACTGTCGTCTACTGTCATCAGGAACTCAGGTCCCCTGCTATCTGTATTTGGGGGAAGTAGGAAGAGCAGCAAATGCCATGGCCAGTGAGACATCCCCAGAATGAAGGCTGTGGCAGAAAGAATCCAGAGGCTCCCACTGGGGTTCACAGGCCCCAGCCCATGAATTCTCATATCTATGCCTACATCCGGGCACCAGCTGTGCCCCTGGCACTCCAAGATGGCCCACGGCCCCTAAGACATTGCTATGGTTTGAAAATCTCAACGTCTCACATTGATGCCAAATTGGCACTCTATTGTGGGGAGCATGGTACAGGATATGGGCAGAATACCTGGCCTCAGTGCAGACTCCAGGGGAGCTAGTTCTCCCTAGCTTCCTGGTAATCTTGGCGCCTTCTGAACCCCCAGGATAGATCCTTTCCCTAAATGTTACCTACCACCAGCCCCTTTCCTGGAGAATCAGCTCTGCCCCCAAGGGGAGGCAAATGGTTGATCTTACCCAAAAAAGACTTAAAAATGTTATATCTTGGAACTAAAAGAATCATCATGCTATCAACACAAATGGGAAAATTGGCTTTGTTGTCAGCAGCATTTATCAAGTGTTTACATGCCAGCCTCTTGCCAAGGCATTTTGTGGAGAATTTCATTTAATTATCACAACAACCACAGGCTGGTAACATTCTGCCCATTCATTTTGCATGCACACAAGGAGACTCGGACAGAGAAAGGAAGGGACACGTCGGTCACAATTGGGCGTGGGGACCCTCAGTATAGATGCAGACAGTGAGCCTGGGTTTGGGGCTATCAAGCTGGCAGTCATAATGGGCGAGGTGGAGCAAAGTTTGGGCCTCACAGTGCTCAGGATAATAAGCAGGGAGCAGAGGGTGTCGGGCTCCAAGGTGGGGAGAGGAAGAGATAGGCGCTGGCCTTCACAGGACCTTGGAGAGCTCCTGCCCTCACAGCTGCCAGGCTTGGCCCTTGTCATTCTCACTGGCTTCTCCAGTACTGTCCCCCATCCTCCGTCCCCCATGGATGCTGCTTCAGGATGGGCCACCTGCAGCTGAATGACCGGCGCTAGCCAGCAAGGCGTGGGGCTATGCACAAGGACCTCTGGGGTGGGCCTACCTGGCCGCAGTCTCAGCCCTGATGCCTCCTGTGCCTGCAAACTGCAGCACATTCTCAGCCTCTCTGCACCCTGATTTCTCTCCCCATGTTTACCATGCAAATAAAACAGCAAGCAACTCTATAGCATCGTCGTGAAGATTAAATGAGTGATGCCACAAAACGCTTATGGGAATCCCTGGCATGTGGTGAATGCTCCATAAACCCAAGATGCTGTCCCTGTTGTCATTCCTTCTCCTCACGTCCCTACTGCAGCACTCTCAGCAGTGTCTCAGGAAGGAGGGAGGCCTCCTGGCTTTGCCATGATTCAGAGCTCCAGAGGCTCAAGGTTTGAGGACTCAGACTGCCAAGGAAGAGCCAGGTTCTGCCCCAAGATGGCATTGCCATGTTCTGAGTGCAGCAGGCCGAGCTCTTGTGGGCCATGTGGGTGGGTAGGGCTTTTTTGGAGGTGATGGTTGATGATGTGGAAAGAAGCCACCAATTCTTGGGTTTTTTTTTTTTTTTTGTTTTTTTTTTTTTTTCTTTTCTTTTCGATACAAGATCTCACTATGCAATTCAGACTCATAGTGATCCTTCTGTCTCAGCCTCTCCAGAACTGCAATCACAGGTATGAGCCACCATGTCCAGTTTCAGGGTCACCTCAGTGCACCTGGGGCTCGGGGGTCAGCATGGCATGCAATACCGGAGATCAAACTCAGGACCTTGCGCTTGCCAGGCAGGCGCTCATGCCCGAGCTGTCTCCCCAGCCAAGCCACCAGTTCTTAAGAGCAGCGTCAGAACTTGTAAGCCTGAGGCCATCCTCGTGCAATGCCCAGCCCTGGAGAGCTGCAGGCCATGGTGCCAGAGGGCACAGGATGGGGAAAACACACCAAACACTTGAGGCTAGCTTAGTGAAGGGGATAAGAAGTTTGCCATTTCAAGAGGTTAGGAACATTTTAGGGTTAAGACTAAGGTTAGAGTTTAGGGTTACGGTTCGAGTTGGGGTTGGGGCTAGGGTTAGAGTTGCCCTGTTGTCCTGAGTAATTTCTAACTTTTGCCTTCCACTGTCATTTTGACTTTGGGACTAGCCACACCATGACTTTGGGAAGTCACACAGTGCCAATGAGTAAGGTGGGTGAGGATGCTCTGTGTTGAGTTTGCAAGCCTGCCTTTCCATTGAATAGGGCTCAACAGTGGCATCCACTGTATTTTTATCACACCTCATAAAGACACTCACAAAAGAAGACTTCCAGATCTGCTCCCAAAAATGACAAGAACAATGAGACTAGTGTATTTGAAGTGAGAGATAAGTATTTCAAGTGCAATTCATGGCAGTGGGTCTTTTACTGTAATAAATTACAAAAAGTTAAAATTCACCACATATGTGGATTGCAACTGGAATTAATCCATGTGCATGGAAATGTAAGGAGAAGAGCCCAGGACTTGGAGCAAGAAGACCTGGGTTAAATTCTTATTTCACCACTTATAGCCATGTGATCTTGGACAAGTCATGCAAGCTTGTTATCTCTGGATTATCTTGTACTTAAAAGTTTAAATTTTGAACTCTGGTAATACTTGTGCTCCCTATAACTTAAGTCAGGAGGTCAGGAATATGCATGTGCTTTGAACCTTCCAAACAAATGTAAAGGAGCGAAATTATCACCATCAAAAAGCAGTAAACAAGGCCGAGGAGATGGCTCAGTGGAATAAGTGCTTCCCTGGCAAGTGCAAGGGCCTGAGTTCAATCTCCGGTTCCGAAAAAAAAAAAAAAGCAGTAAACTACAGAGGCCAAGAATAAGAACTTTCCAGTGAAAATAACCCACATGTCTCAGCCCAGTGACCCCCTGGCTGTGCATTCAAGTCAAATTACTTGAACTCTGTGCTTCCTTGTTCCAATCTGCAAGAAGGGGGAACTATTCTAGATCCAATTGTTAGCCTGTCTTGAGGACCACAAGAGCAAACACGCACAAATCACTTTCACTGCCCAGCATATACACAGTGTCACTCTGTAAGTGTGAGTAGTTGGCAAGGCCAGCGGGAACAGATGGCAGCAGCTGCTGAGACAAGAAGGCAGGTGTCAAAAGAGTTGGTAGTCAGGGCAGTTGAGTTGCATGACCAGTATCTGGGCCCTTGGAATGTCATCTGGATGCTGAAGTGAAGACAGAGGAACTGTGTCCTTGTATTTTGAATAGCCCAGCCTGGGAGTAACCAAGACCCCAACATGTAGGCCCTGGCCTCCAGTCACAGGTTCTACCAGGGCACCATGTCAGCACACTTCTGAGTGGCTGCCCAAGTGACTCAAACCAGGAGCTGAGTTTAACATCTAGTATGTACCCCAAGGAAGCAACGGGGTCCCACAAGACCAAGGAACCAATGGCCAGACTGAAGATCATTGCAAAAGCTTGCCAGGCCAGCTGAAGAAGAAGGAAGGAAGGGGTAAGAACCCCAAAGCATAGACACCTGAACCCTAAAGACATCTTTGGCAATCACTGAGGTTACCTGTGAAAAACATGCAAAAAATAAGGAAATATTTTTTCCCCCAACAGGGAAACAACAGCGGTGGGAAGACACAGAGACACAGAGGACAAAATAAAAAGCATGGATCTGGAATGAGAGGTTTTGGGTCTGAATTATCCACAAGGAAACATTCACACAGTAGAGACAGACAGTTAGACTTACGTTTTATTGAAGGGTGTAACCTTACATATTAAGCCTAAACTTAGAGTTCCTTCTAAAAATAGTTTTAGACTCATAGAAAGGCAGAATCAGTAGGCACAAGTTCATCAGGGCCTGGATTTTAAGGAGGTCAAAACCCACACACTCTCCTACCCAAAGAATTTGATTAACATGAGCACAGTTAACACTGATATCAGGTCTGGGCAGTTAGCAATAAGAAACAAACCCTCTCTCTGTAACAAATCAAGCACAATGTTCACAGATGATATATTAATTGGAGATTAATATTATAATTTTTTTTTTTTGCTCCGAATGCCTTCAGCACAGGTTTGGCTGGCTGGAGTTGTGGGGATCGAACCACAGCAAACTGAGCCTGACTGCTTTGTTGAAGCAGCTACTTAAAGAACTGAGCTAAGGGGCAGGACCCCTATAATATTATTATATTAATCCATTAGACAATACGGATTGTCTTACAGGAAAAACCCCAAAGTTAAACAAAGAGCAAAACACAACATAGGCAAAAGGACACAAGGTATGGTTATATCTAAACGCTCCCACTGCTCCTGCTGTCATAGGTGGGGCTTCGTGGAGAGGGCTGCACCATGGAGGCTGATACGCATCAGTGGACCAGTCCATGATGAGTGTGTAGCTAAGTGTGATGTTGGGAGGTGGAGCATGGTGGGAGGAGATGATCACGAGGCGGTGTGGCCTAGCTCCCTCCTCCTCCCTTGATCCCTCCTGCCTCTTGCCTCCACAGCAGGAGCTGTCGTTCCTCTGCAATGCCCCCTTTGCCATGCTGCCCTGCCCTGGAGCCAGTGAACTATGAACTAAAACCTTTAAAATCCATGAGCCAAACTAAACCTCTCCCCCTTCAATATACAGGTGTCGGTCTCAGTGGTGAGGAAAGTAATTAAGATACAGAGAGGGCTTTTTCAAACGGGGATAAGAGACAGGAAGACCAGGGAGGGGCAGGAGGGGTAGGGGACAAAGAAAAAATTAAGATATGTTATGTCCATGTATTAGCTCTGAGTGATAAATGCAATCACTATGTCCTGCAAACATGAATTAAGAAAACATAAAAAATACAGCCTACAGGAAGATCCAGCACAAGGGGCCCTGGCCGGGACAGCCCAACCAGCACTCTGGGTCCCATGAGAGGGGAAATCGAACAGGGGAAAAATGAGGAAAGGCTCACTGACCTAGAAACCCAAGCGCTCCTTTACAGGCATCTTCCGTGAGTGGGCCTTACCTCAAAGTGAGTGCCTGACAGCCTGTTCACCCTGAAGGCTTCAGTGAGTGGACTTGAGTTGATTATCATGGGAAATCCTGGGGCCACAGGTGACAATGACACTGACAAATTCACAGAAAACTTGTGCACCAAAGTCCCAGGGGGAGAATTCTCTGCCACGTTGCTGGAGGCAGGTAAGTGGACGAAGTGTAGCGCTTCTCCTCCTGTGGATTTAAAAAGGATGCAAAATGACATGAACATGAGACTCACAGCTTGGTCTGTGCTTTCAACTCCTAGCAACAGGGAGACCTGCTTACTCCCCAAGAACAAACGCTCTTGCCAAGTGCTGGAAACGGACGGACGTGTGAGATCTTCTGAGCTCCAGGGAAACAGCCCCACCACACAGCCCTGAAATCTGTTCCTGTCACTGAGCAAACAAAGCTGCCACTTTTCTCCTGTCTCCCCGCTTTTCTTCTTCCTCCCAGCCTTTGTGAAGAACCAGGGGAAGAAAGAGGAGCACAAAGCCTCAGAAGATGGACAGACACCCCTTTTGAGGCCCTAGTCTAGTACCGACATCTCTTCTGCAATGTCCCAGTCATCTCTAAGAGTATTTCCTGCTTTGCGGCAGTGGTGATTCATGAGGTCAGCTGAGAACTAAGAGGGCATGAGTGGAGAACTCTAAAATCATGGAGGAATCTCTCTGCATCCATTAGCAATCCTGAGGATGATTATTTGTTACGGTGGGAGGCTGTGTTGTTGGGTAATGTGGAGGTACAGGGCCAGTCAGTACTTCCTGGGGGTTGGCCAGCTCTGGTTTCAGAGAAGAGAAAAAGAGACAAGAAGGGCACAGGAGCTGCCTTGGCTGCACTACACACAGAGAATTTTACAACCTAAGAAAAAGTATCCTTTTTCCAGCAAAGCCTTGAGAACTGTCATGATCAGGATTTGTAAGGGAAACAATAAAGACACATAATATACAGAATTACTTTATAATAGTCACCCAAAGAAGCATGTATAAAGAGAGTGAAGGAAATCTGTCCACACACTAGAGACCAAAAGAATCCAACTGAGGGTCTGGACTCCACAGCAATGCCCTGAGTGAGTCCGTTGAGGACCTAGAGCCCATGACAATGCCTCCCATGAATCCGTCCAGAGGCCTAGAACCCACAACAATGCCTCATGCAGGCCCGTTTCACAGATCTGCACTGGGAAGCCCCAAAAGTCAGTGGTAGCAGCTAGGAAGTCTGGGCCAGAGGGGTGAAGGGTCTGTGCCAGCGGGCCGAGGGCTCTGCACTGGAGCCAGGAAGCAACTGTCAAAGCAAGAACCAGAGCTCTCCCAAAAAGGACCATAGCCATCCTTAGTACAGCAAGGTCCCAAGCTCCTCTGACAATGAGAACAACTGAGTTCACATCAGGAAAGTCAGTAGGACAAGCTTCTCCAGGAGAATGAACAGAGCACAATCTTCCCCCCTGGAGCCAGAAAACAATGCTCAAAGTGAGGACCAGAGCTGCCCCAAAGGGAAGAAGGTCCCGAGCTCCTTCGACGATGAGAAGAGCCAAAGTCATATCAGCAAAGCTAGCATGAGAAGCTCCTCCAGGAGAACCAGCAGACCCAGGAGAACCAGCAGGACCCAGGAGAACCAGCAGGACCCAGGAGAACCAGCAGGACCCAGGAGAACCAGCAGGACCCAGGAGAACCAGCAG